TTAAAACCTTTATTGAATGACCCTGTGCAAAAAAACAATATTGAACTTGACCCATGAAGTGAGGTATTTTGCCTCACCGAAAATTCGATCTGAAAATTTAATTTATACCACAACCGTTCTTAAGCTAATGCAAATGTCTAAATTTTAAAAAAATGTTAATTAATTAAACTTCAACCAAATAAACTTGGGTTAATTTTTGCTGCTGAATCTAAAAATGCAAAATAAGGTGCTGCGAGGACATACTCTGTGTAATGGAGACTAATTTCAGTGTGCAGGGAGCTTTCGGAGAGCAGCGCACTTGTGTATATGAAATGTGTCCGAGAAAAATCGATAACATATAATGTGTTCTATTTAAATATACTCATGTTGCATGACCCATTCCGGCATAAAACGCGCGCCATTGCAAAAATATCTATAATGTCGATTTTAATGACAAATTCGGTAGTTATTTTTTGCATTTATTTCAAGCTGCAACAGAAAATTGGCCGGTCCTGTTCATTTTTTCAACAAATTTAGCTTTTAATTTTTATTTCACCGTTTCGTTTTCGCATTAGTTATTTTAACACCGTTGGAATAAACTCCTTCGTAAAGCTTATCTGCCCATTACAAACGGCTTTTGTTGAGCAGCTCGCATTTACAGTAAAGAATGTCAAAGATTGAATTTTTTTTTAAGTTTTACACAAAAAGAACTTACTTTATAGCTGACAGTAATATTCATAAAGGTATAAAATAAATCGTTATTACTAAATTATATTATACAACAATTTTTGTTATAATTATTATAATTATACAAAGTAAATACCCTAATCATTAGCAACTTCATAATCATTCCACTAAGTATGCACTTAAGTTACTAGTTCCAAAGTCGCGAATTCGCCAGAGTGCTGTTAGTAAACAAGATCTCAAAATATACAATACTCAACATAATGTAAGGAAATTTAAACGCTTTGTTAAAAATTAATTGATTAAAATTAAAATGAATAAAAAATTGATTAAAAATTTTAATTAATAAATACATTAAATTATTTAAAAATAATTCATTAATTAATTTTATTTATACATAATGCATATTTAATTATTTTGTTATTATTATTATTATTATTAATTAACTATATTTATTTTTGAAAAATATTTATGTATTTTGTTAAATTATTTTTTTATTTCTGAAATTTGTAATGTAATGACTCATCTAATGTGGTCAAACACGGGGTATTGAGTATAATTATCCTACAATTATTATACCAACATTTTAATTATTCACGAAATTGTTGTAGAACCTGGAGGTTTAAATAAGAAGTATTAATTATATAAACGAATTGTTTAATTTGACCGATAAAACCAAGGCAATTTAATAGCGTTTTCGAAAATAACTACCTTTAAAATTGTAATAAAATACACTCAGATTTATTTGCACTAACTTATATAACGATTTCGCTCGCATTTTGTTCATTTGTCTCTTAAAATGCTTGTTTTCTGCAGTAAAAGTAGGAATGGCATATTTAAACAATGGTTAGATCGGGTAAGTGTCGTTTATCTTTACGTTTTCGGTGAATTTACTCGGATTCACCAGAACTTCATAATTCTCGGCACGGACATAGAACCCATTGTACTTTGCAACGAAGAGGATAACTAGCTGCACTCGAAGCGTAAAGTGTTGTAGGCGATTATTGTTTAGAAACTAAAAACGAATTCAGGTGCAACTGGAGCATGAAGAATCTAGACAGCGTCTGAATCCAGAAACAAACAAGTTCACAATTTCGAGATTTTTCTTTCAATTAATTCCCCGCAATTTGTTGTTTGATCTTGATTTTGATGTGCGTTGCATGCAATCTGTCTGTACATTATATTTAAATATGCAATGTTTTTGCTCCAAATGCAAATAGGAATATTTCCAGTGAAGAAACCATTATTGTTTGTTTGTTTTTTGTTCAATAGATTTATGCTTCCAGTCCATTATTTTATTATTTTAGTAGTACTCACAGTTGAAGCATTGCGAACTATTATCTCTATATAAACACCTTATTATTCATTATTATTCAATATGGCACGTTGGAATTCACACGAATTAGAAATTTATAATAATAAGTGCAATGTTTGTACTAAAACATGTATTTGTTTTTTAGATGCTTTATTTATTGTATGATATTTTTTTGCTAAACTTGTAATTAAAGTGCTTATATTTTTTAAACTATTATGGTTAAACAATTTGTTCTATACTAGTCTATAAAGAGCACATCGCCTAATTTAGTTTTGTCAAGAACAAAAAAAAAACGCTCTTCCTAGTCAATTCTATTCATTACAAATCAACTATCTATTTCTACAAGTCTCGGATTCTGCAGTAAAATTATGACGAACAATAAGCACATTATTATGTATACTACACGGTACTGTAGTAAAATTTCGAAGTGTATATTTGTATATTAGAATGTTAACGTCTTTTGAAGCACAATATTGTGTTCTCTTAATCTAAACCCTTAAGACTCCCTGGAAAATTAAACTTATGAATATGCAGAACGAAAGAAACATACTGTGTAAATATTTTTTGTATAAACAACCATGTGTAATATATTTATATTCTTTTCAGAAGTTTGAGACCTAAAGTTGCATATGTCTATTGATGATTACGCCTAGCGTTCTAGATGTTGCGGCGTTAATATTGAATATTATGTGACTATCATATTTGACTATAAGTAATTTAAGAATATAGTAAATATGTCAATTATTTGGTACAACAAATTCATATTTACACAACATCATTTCAATCATTTGTTAAATCGTAATTACCAGCCACCCTGTACATAAATTGACTTAAATGTTAGAATTTAGAACGGAAAAAATCAGTCTTTAACGTACGGCCTCAACACGCATTTACGTAAATGTTTTCCTAATCTAATGACTTGCCGATTTCAATATTTTGATAGTATTCTGCATCCTTCGTCAATTATCGCTCGGGCGCCGTATGCGTATGTCCCCGATGATGCAAAGTGGAAACCTTGGCTGGAGTAAAGCAATACCAGACGCACTTCAAACTGACCTTGACTCGCAACAAAACACTTTCTTTCAAAGGTTTGGTTTGAAATACAATTAGATTTACTATTCTGAGGTGCCCGAGGTATCCACATCCTTGCGGAATTGCTAGAAATTAAAATGAGGCTTATGGTGATGTCATCGATAGTATTTTTTATTTGCAACGTAATTGTCTTGAATTCTTAAAAAATTAATATTCTTATTAATATTTTTTAAATAAGCTCCTATCTTTACTCCTAGCACTCGTAACTCCTCCACAGTCGTAACACTTTTTATTCAAGGTGGCAAAATACAGGTGGGAAAACAGATTTTCAAATATTTTTTTGTCAAATTAGAAAAGAACTAAATTCGCAAGAGAAAATTCCTTCACCAAGACAGTGCGCGGTGGTTTGAATTGATTGATTGTGATGAGACAAAATTCACGAATCATGAATTTTGTGTAAGGAAATTTATGTAGATACATTTTTCGTCGTTTTCACATTATTGTATTTATTGACAAAAATTATAAAAAAAAACAAAGGCAAACTGCACAAAGTTGAAATAGCACCATAAATAAAATTTCGTTTTCATTTATCTATTTTTGGATCTATTTTAATTGAACACTCTATATATATTTTTTGCCAAAACGAGAAATCTTATTACCCCGATCATGAAACTATATAAAGATTGTCGCAATAGAGGGTCGGTGGTTGATAACTTGCAAACCATTGAAGAAAATAAAAACGCAAGTGCATCAGATGAATGACAAAATTATTTTCATGTTTACCGGATCTCCCATAAATATGTAAGAAATTAAGTTCGGCTTTTTTCTTATGAAATCTCCTATATATTTCTAAATATTACATTACATTCTGATATTGGGATAAGTCAGTTTTAAGTGCTTTGTGGTCAGTGGCATCCAATATATATTTCACTTAGTTGAAATTAAAGTTGAAAATTATTCCTGTGGGTCTTTTTAAATAAGTATCTAAAATATTATGACAGACTTCAAAATATTCTAGTGATTAGACAAAGAATTAAATAAAACATAAACCATTTCATTGAATAGTGGAAGAAAATAGTAGATATTTAAAAAAAGGCACTTATTTCAGTTTATATTATCATTATTGTTTGTTTATGGAGTCTATCATTATCGTTTGGTGTATTATTTTCCTTACAATTTAAGGAATTAAGTACTTAATGGTTACTTATTACAATATAAATGACAAACTACTTGAAGCTTTTCTTCCTCCTAGTAATCATTTTGCTAGCTGACTGTTTCAGATATAAAGAAAATCTGCACATTCATTCCCTGGTCAATTGAAATCAAATAGCTAAAAACCAGCTTACCCAAATGTAAAACAACAACAAGATATAGAGAGCTACATAAAAAATATACCTTACAACCATTTTTCAAACTTGGCGATGCGTTTTTGTATTTTTTTGAAGCCTTAGAAGATAATACTACAGAACCTGTACAACCTATGTATTAAAAGTTTTTCTCTGTCGCTTATAACATTCACTAAAGGTGGACATGCAAATATAAAGCTTTTGATCGCTACTATTGATCAAACACACACAATTGTATTATAATGAAATCAGGAACTGGCCACCAGAAATGTTCTGGCTGAAATGTAAATTTCTCCCTTGTCGAAACATTTGATGCGATTGCTGAATATGGGTGTTTGGGAACAAACTAGGTACTTTGACCATGACAGATAATTGGATCGTATTCCTAGGAATTCCGTCAAAACCGCACTAGACGTTGCACTCTGATAACCGCGCACGTATTTTGCGAGAAAAAAAAGCAAACAAAAATAAAATTGCAGACCGCAACAGATAAATCGAAAAACACGACAACAAAAAACCATTAGGAAGTACCGGCGGTACCAGTATTAACGTAATCATAACCCCACTTATCGGTTCGCATTTAGTCGTACCTTAGAAAGAAAGTAAAACTGATCATCAATGTACGCTCTCCTTCGGCTTTACGCGGATGGTACTCAAAAAGAGGGGAAAGTAAAAATACCAAATATCGCCCAGTATAAAGACACTGTACGTTGATAAATTCCAACAGTAAATCGACAGCGTTTACACGCCACCAACCCCCCGCATCCAATTTGGGGCGAATATGCAGTGGCTATCCCTTTTGGTTAGTGTCGCTTTTATTTTCGTTAGTTGTCTGTGGTTAAGTGAACTCGTGACCCATTTTATCTATACGGACCGATACTGCTGGTTGTGTTAAGCGGTGGAAAAGAGGACTGTAAATTTTGGTTTGAAGATTTATCACAGGATTCGATATTTTTTTAGGGTTTTATGGATTAGATTTGATCTGATTCCACTCCTTCCAATTTTTTTTTCGTGTTGGTACCGTGATAAATTGTTTCAAGCTAAGATTGGGGTGTCACAGGGGATCGTTTTAATTCATTATTCTTCGATAAACGTGTAAAAAGAAATAAAATAACGCACAAAATTTTATCAAATTGGATGCATATTTTATCGACTTTATATTATTATATCTAATAAAAACTTGAAACAGAAAAACTGAAAAGGGTAGCAATTGATGCATCTAATAGAATCAAAGAAAAAAATGCAAAATATTATTTTCTTTGATGTAGTGAAAAAGGAAGCAGAAATAAAATGAAAATGTTTATATTAGACGATTGTTTATTTAAATAATAAATTTTATAATGAAGTATGTGTTCATACTGGCAATTGAAATTCATTAATTTTGTTGGACTATTTACGTTTTTTCTTTTTAATGAAACCGGTTTCAGTAAAAGTAAATAAGAAAAATTTCTCCTCGCGGTGATGTTTAATTATTATTTTCTGGGTGAAATTTTAAGACTACAATGGTTCACAAGGAACAATTAATAGATGTTAGTTTCTATGTTTTCAAAAGCCACAGATTGTCACACTGAGTACGTTTTTTTGTTTTTTTTTTAATTAACGCACCAAATTTTCCGTCTGACAAAAGTAACAACTATTTGAAAAACATAAAACAAAATTAATTTTATTATTATTTTATGAAGCTTAGTTAAAATTATTTTCTAGCAAATTTCATCAGCAAAGAAAAATAATTTTTTTATAAGACCAACTAATAACTCAAAGAAAATATTCTGATTTGATCTAAATGGTTCAAAAACTGGAAAAAACTTTCGCAACTTTAACACCCTGTAGATCGGTCACTAAACTACACAAGTTTATTACATTTGAAAGATCTGTCGGTAAAATCTTTTTTATTAAACATCTGATACAGCATTTTATCCCCTATATTTCGGCGATCCTCCTGATGCACACTATACTATATAGACCGCCAAAGTAGGCAATTATAGGAAACAATTTATTTCCTAGATTTATGTGTTTTTTGACTTTTAACCGTTCAATTAAAGATTACCGCCATTTCATTAGTTCCGGATGAACATCTGTTGCAATTTCACTATAGCAGAGCACCGTCGCATTTCCTGTACTACTTTGAAAGGAGTCTTACATAAGTGGGACTAATTTACGTTATTGTTATTATGTATGTGTTACACTAATTGTATAGCATCTAATTTTGTTTTCACATTTTTGTTGCAATGTGTATCGAAAAGCGTTTCATTGCTATTAATAAATAAGGATGAACGTCGTTGATAAATATTGAAATGTTTTTGACTCGCCATAGCTTAACACTTATATAAATAATACATAAAAAAGACGTGGGCACACCCACATAAACGATTGGGATTGCAATTTTTTGTTGACAGTTAAAATTATTTTCATTACAGGTGCTTGGATTCGGCTTTTTAGCCGTCCCCTCGTCGTCTGGTCCTGTTAGTCTCTCGCGCAGCAAAAGGTCTTACCATGAACCAGAAGGCTACTGGAGTAAAAAGCTAACTTGGAAAACCGAATGGGTCAAAGTCTGGAAAACGGAGAAAAAGCTTATCTGGAAACCGGATTGGAAAAAAATACAAGTTCCGATTTGGAAGGAAATTCAAGTTCCAGTATGGAAGGAAATTCAAGTACCTGACTGGAAAGTAATTTCCAAACCGGTGTGGATAGAGAAGCAAGTACCCGCATGGAAGGAGATTCAAGTTCCAGACTGGGTCGAGAAACAAGTACCCGCTTGGAAAGAAATCCAAGTTCCAGACTGGAAGGAAATTCAAGTACCCGATTGGAAGGAAATTCAAGTGCCAGACTGGAAAGAAATTCAAGTTCCTGCGTGGAAGCAAATTTGGAAACCGGTCTGGGTCGAAGTTCAAGTTCCAGCGTGGAAAGAAATCCAAGTGCCAGAATGGAAAGTCAATCACGTGCCCGTATGGGTCAAGGAGGGCATTCACGGAGAACACTATCTGGGCAAAGACGAACACGGGGCAGAGTACACTGCGCATGATTTATGGAAGAAAAAACTCATTTGGAAGCCGGTGTGGAAGAAAGTGTGGCGGACCGAAAAGAAACAGATATGGGTACCACAAAAGAAGATGGAATGGAAAGCGGAGTGGGTAAAAGTGTGGAAAACGGAGAAGAAGCAGATATGGCGTACTGAAAAGAAACAAATATGGCGCACTGAAAAGAAGCAAATTTGGAGAACCGAACAGAAACAAATATGGGTACCTAAAAAAGTACAGATTTGGAGAACGGAAAAGAAACAGATATGGGTACCCAAGAAAGAGTTAATATGGAAACAAGAGAAAGTGCAAATCTGGAGAACTGAAAAGGTACAAAAGTGGCTCACCGAAAAGAAACAAATATGGAAAGACGAATGGAAAAAAATTTGGGTGCCAATTTGGAAGACCATTGAGGTACCTGCGTGGAAGAAGATCTCAAAACCGGTGTGGGAAAAAGTGTGGGTAAAAGTGCACCACCATCACGGCTGGGATAGATGAAGACTCTGTTATCCAAGTACCTGTTCAGCTTCTTTTCTGTAAATATGATCTGTTCTACGACGCTCTGTGAGTATAAATGACTGTATGTAAATAAAAGGAAAAGCCAGTGAGTTTTTTATTACGCATCTTGTGTTGTAATTATTGTTATTTTTTTATTATTGTTATAGTGTATATTAAAAAGTATTTGTATATACTTTGCTTTATTTTACCCCGGACCTATTAAGTGAAACAAAAATTGAAAAATGCTGCATTTTTTTATCAGTGCTGTGCCACCGAACGATTTCAAGCTAGCGTTTTCTATAGAAATCCATAGAAATGAAAATACTTTTACCTTTACTCCAAACTTACATCATAAAGGCGAATAATTGAACTTTTTTTATTTACATATTTTAATCAATCTGCCAAAAAATCGGAGACATTGAAAAAGTCTATGAGAGAATGTCAGATAAGATGTGACGAAAGTGAGTCCTTCTGACGCTTAATCTTGTAATTACGTAAAGATAACGACGAAATGTATAGATTGAAATTTTTATTTTGTTGGAGGTGCGATAAAATAAAGAACACAAATAACTAGGGCTTACAGACATATGTAATTCATAAAAAAAATCCGAGGACAGGTTAAATCACTTCTAGTCTCTACAAAGCACCTAAAGTAAGTAAAAAATTTTTTGATTTAATCTATATACAATCCAAAATTAATTAAACAGTTCATTGAAATTGATTTATCCTAAATAAATATTTCTTTAGGTATAAGTATTATTTAGTTGGGGTCTCAGTTTGAAATTGACTGAAGTGGGTCTTTTATTCATGGTTTTAATACTATGATTATGAATAATAATGAATTGTACACCAAGTTTAAAAAAGTTAATATTTTAAGTGATTAAGCGGTTTTGAACTTATTTAGACACTTTGTTTAATTTGCGAACTTTTTGGATTAATTTTATCGTTGAACATACGGAACAAAATAGTAAGCAATTCACGACGTCGTAGTAGGAGCTTCATTTCCGACATACCGATGGTCCTTTTAAGTCTTCTTCTATATATACTTCCTTTTATGACATGTGAAATACGTCTCTAAGTTTATTAAGTTTGTGTATGTTATTCTGATTTACGTTGATGGTTTTATTTTCTTCAGATTTTTTAAACATGTATCTTACGGATTGTATGATATTTATCTGAAAATAACAAGACGAAAGATGCTCCACCGCCATTTTTCGAAAAACAGTTTTATGAAAAAAAAAATACAAATTACAAATTGTTCTTCTGGATTCCTCCTGCGTCGGTTTTTGCTTAGTCGGAATTGCTGACGTTTCGCCAATCATCTTGTGGGCTTCTTCAGAACTTGACTGAAATTGAACCAGCAAAAACCGACGCAGGAAGAATCCAGAAGTTTTGTAAAAAGCATTAGAGTAGCCTGTGGAAGTTTCTTTGAAAAATGTGAACGTCTTTATTGAATATAATTTTCATATCAACTTTTGTATTTTATTTATCACCTTAAAACAAAATAACTTTTTTTCCTTCGTTATTTTTTTAGTTTAATACATACTTGAACAGTTCTATCGTTTTATTTTCGCAGACTATTGCTAAGGATAGAAAAAATTACTAAATTTAAATAAATTTACTTTTATAGCAAATATCCAAAAAAGATCCCAAGAATTACAAAAGTAGCTTCTATTAGTTATATTTATATTATCGTATTTGTTCAATTTCTGGTATAGATATTTTCCGCCCGTATTTGAGCATTTCAAGTGCCGCAGCTGGCAGTAAAACAGAAATTACTTTCACCCGAGTAATTTACCGGGCTTCCTTCGTAGGAAGCGAGTTAAACGGCCTCTGCAAAATCGCAAGATCAAGGATCAGTATTTCAAAGTTGTTTTAACGTTTTTATTATTTGTTGTCGGCTGGCGCTTGTCAGCTTTCTAACAAAATTTACGAGTTAGTTCTTCGCACGTAAATTGAACATTTCAATATTTGGAATTATGCGATTATTACCCGCACATTTAGTTTATTAAAAATGTAACGACGTAATATTTATTACTTGGGGAACATATGCGATATTTGAGCCTAACTCGTCGCTTGTTTTGCCCATTGTTATGTAAATGTCCGACGCAAAAAAAACTATTCTACAATAGAGAGCTCATCCTCGCGATGAGAATTTCTGCGAGTGAAAGGATTTGTAATAGATATGCAGATAACCTAAAAATTGTGAAGATCAAGCGGAGAAATTATTACCCACGGCGACTACTCCGCAGCGCCGACTTCTAATTTGCAGGAAATCTGACGTTGCGGCATCAGTACGCAACGTTTAACGATGGCTTCGTTATAAAAATAAAAACATTCTGGGGAATATCGTATTGTCTGCCTTACGCTGCATAAAAATGGTACTTTACACGAGGTGTATAACTAACTAAACTTTTGGAAAAATCTGAAACTTTTTTTAGTATTTATTTTATTTAGAACTTAAACAAGTGGGGCTACCAAGCTCGATAACAGTGGGATGCCCAATTATATACTATTGAAGGTTAGAGGAAGTAAAAATATCTCAGATATTTCTGTAACAACGGTTATTAGTTACATTTGACCTTCCTAAAACTATTGTCCTAGAACCAAAATATTGAAAGTAAAGGTTGAAAGTAGAAACCAAAAATAATTTTTTTTCTTGCTCTCTTTAAATATTGTGGTTTTGGTTGTAGAACCATAATCACAGAGTGATTTAATGTAACAGAATGTTTTGCCATATGAAGTCAGTAGATATCCCAGTGTTATCGAGATTACATATCGCCATTACTCAGTTATTGTCCTCTTAGTACATCTTTTTATTTATGTTGCATAAAGTTTCCCAATGAAAAGTTTTGAAACTCATGCACTGCACTTTTGAGCATTTAAATTCTATTTTGAAACTTTTGCTTTAAAAACTTAGTGTTTCTAGTCCCTACTCTACAATACCCATTTATGCATGGATCAAGCGTTAGGAAAATGTCACTTTAAGCATCAGTTTCGTTACACACGGTCGCTTCACCGACAGATAAAAGAAACTTGCTTTTCTTTGCACAAGGGTGCCAAGGAACCAGGAAAAAGATATACGAGTAAATAGACCTGATGGTGAAATCCATTTATCACGAGTACATAAATTTAAGCAAGCAATTTTATGCATCAGAGAGCATTTAATGCATCATAGCCTATAAAAAAGATCACCGAAGGTTTTAGAAGCAGCTAGAACCACATCTCAGGAAATTAGCCTTACCAATTAAATTGTAAAGCAAAAATAAATGCTGCTATTATTGAAACAAGACTAACATGACAAGTATAAACAATGCTGATATAAAAAATTCAGCTGCGAATCATGTGAAATTTTTAATTCATTTGAAAAGATAACTAGAGATTAACTTATATTCTTCAATTTATTTCTTACATTTTTGAAAATATTTAGCATAATTGGTACACATATAAAAAACACAATATTTGGGATATTACAACGCTTTTCAGCACGTACAGAGAGGTACATTTTTAATGTTGTGAAAATACTTGATCTTACAATAATGTTTATACGAACATTTTTTCTTATTTCAAGCTAAGCTCCTAAGTTGAAGCAATGTAATAATGAATCACCCTGTATAAAATAATGTTAAAAATAATACATTTCATTAAGTCGTCTGGTCTGAATTCGTAGAATCACAGATTGTTGATAAGACAAATGTAGTACTTAAATTTGCTTAAATACTTGGGCCAATATTAGATATTACGTTAATAAAATCATCAACGTAGATATCAGTACCATTCGGCGATCTGATATCTATATACACTTGCTATACAAAACTGAATAGTTTTTAGGTTTCAGAAACTTTTTTATGGCGGCTAATGTTACTAATTTGAGTAGGAAATCATCAAAATAAGATTATTGACTTAGTCAACCCGCATTCTTCAAGTTCAAAAACCATATCCACAGGGAAGCACATTGCACAGTGTGAGATTTTTCGTCAATAAGTGATTTTTTTAGTTTTGAGTAGCTAACATTGATTGTTAAGAATTTTGAGTAAATAGTCTTTCCGAAATGTACTACAGAACCCATTGAATATTTTCTTTTGTTTATAGGGGTCTGGCGCATTCGCCAAAAGCAAGAATGACTGTGACTGCTTTGGAAATCCGAAGATCTTCATTTTTCACTCTCAAAGTATGAAACTGTGCTAGCTAGCATTGTTGATTATTTCTAAAACTATAACAATGATGCATTTTCTACACTTTTTACATTATATTGTCAAATTGTGTTGTGTGTGTGTATAATTGTAACAAGATAGTCGAAAGAAACAAAAAGCATGAATGAAAATTGAATAGTCAAAAGCACTGGATTCAATCTTCGTGTCCATAAATGGAGGTATTACAACCAACCCAGAAAATTGGTAACAATTATAACTGGATTTGAATTTTAAATGTTGTTTAAAATTGAAATGTGTTTTAGAAGCACTAGCTGGGTAGCTAGGAAAATTTGATTGGATATCAAAACCACTTCTGAATAAAATTTATTAACGGTTCATTCGTATCTTTTTAGAAAGTAAATAACCTTGTCTAATAATCGCTATTTAAGACTTTATCTTCAAGGAAATTCACTTATTCTCGAAGTGATCCTGGCACTATGTACCAACTACCCTACAAGAAAAACCAAGCATCTGAGTATTAACCTTAAGGCACTAACTGACAACTAAATATTAAGTGCTTTTTCTTTTGACGGATAAACCCACAAAAGACACAGCAATATGGTGGAGCGCATGATGAATTAAAACGGCTAAACGAATAGCATGAAGTACTGGAACATGTACCGAAATAATTCACTCTGATGACAAAAACATCTTAGATGAAATAAAAATTCTTTAAGTAAAAAAAATAGGTCTACCTAAGCAGATTACCTTAGAAACATAAGGAAAAAATATTCAGGAATAAAGTTGCCATATTTGACATGGAATCTGCAAAAACTAATAGCAGTTACTGTTATAAACCAGCAATCCATATTTATTCCAATTCCAATTGCGAAACTACAGGACTACAAAGGCACACTTGGGAGAAGTTTAGGAAGATAGGATACAGTGAAGAATAGGAAGTAAAAGGTAAAAGGACATAGAGGAGCCGCAATTGAGGAACATACGAGAATGAACCAATAGATGCAGTGCAGACGACTGACATATATTTTGTAGTTATTAAAGTTAAAGAAAACTCAAAACTGACGAACTGTCGTACTAATCTCGACCATAACAAAATTGACTTGTGAGGCACACTAGTAACCTTGTTCACAGCGCAATTGGTGTCTATGGTGAGATCACTACCATATCGGTAGTAGTATCTTATCAAAAATCAAACCCTATATATATCGAACAAACACAAAAAAAATGAACAATTAAATCTTGGAAAGAACATAGATCATGAACTATTTTGTGCTTCTCATTATAACATGTGCATGGGGTGTTGGTTCGTCACCCGTAATCCACGGTAAGTAAAAATTTGATGAGGAAGAGTGCCTACTAATGGAAATAATTGAAAAATAAACCAATTTTAGTAAAACTTAATTTTCGGTGATACGTACCAACGATAACTCAGAAAGAGATAATTTTTACAGCAGGCTAAAAATTCGCCAAGCTTCTTTTGTAGATATAGATATAGTAGATATAGACTTTATTTAAAAGGGAACTGCTACTACTCATTTTTATTTTGTAAACGCATTTCCAAGAACTATTTAAGCAAATGAGAAGCCTACAATATTCATAGTGCTAAATCTTAAAAAAAAGTCCGCTTTTATAATTAATAAATAATTATTTTTTAACAACGAGTTAAAAGAAATTAGGCTAACCAATATTTACATTGCTGAAAAATCAGGCGATCACCCGACCCGCATGTCCGACCGTCAAATACAAAGCGCCATTCTAACTACGAGGAGTGAGTATTTAAATGAGCGAAATTATAACGCCCCAAACACGTGACTAAAGAACCGCAAACGTCCGAAGTGGCTCTCGGCAGTGTTTAAAGAAAATATTAAGAAAGGATTTTCTTACAGCTCCGCAGAATGTACCCCTACCTTACGGATGGCCTTTCGATGGCATTGCAAATGCTACGTTAGCCACTATTATTGAAAACCTGGGCGACCCACTGATCGAGGATCCAATATCGATTAATCAAAATTCGTCAACAATCAAGTAAGAGTCAGATGTTTGTTTACGCAGCCGACACATTTTCGAATATTTACAGCGGTACGGCCGATATTCTCAATTTGACAGTTACCGGACTTCATGGAGTGGCAGCTTCATTCGTTTCCGTGTCGGTAACAACCCTGGCAATCAATCTCACCTTAAATATACCGAGTATCACTATTAGCGCCAACTACGATGCGGACTTGACCTTGGCGCAAATATTGCCTTTTTTTGGGCAGGGACAATTGAGGTACATGAAAATTTATTTACTTTTCCTCTTTGAGAAATTAATTTTTGATCTTTAACATCATAGCGGATTTTACTTAAATAAAATTGTTAAGGATTGACTGAAAATAGGATTTGAGTTTTCACTAACTATTTTTACGGATTAACTGCTGCTAGATTTGGTGCAATTAGTGCACCGAAGTTTGTCAGTTCGAATCGAAACGTTTGGAGCATATTCGAAAATGCAATAAAATTGCTGTAGAAAAAATAAAAAAATTTGAAATGTTTTTAAGTGTGGCATTCATGAAAATAGAAGGAATCTATGAGCACGGAAAAATGTACGGGGCGACTTGGGTTTTCTATTTAAGCTTCTCTAAATAATAATTTATCCTAAATGTTTCACTGCATAATTTTGGTTAGTTTCTCGACGTACACCGGGTATGTCGTGAAATGTTAAATACGTATTGGACTATTCAGTATATTATAATTAAAATACCGACGCAATTTTTAGCTTAACTCTGACAGATTCCGAACTGAACGTATATGGGAAAGCAGATCTGAGCGATGGCTTACAAATTTCAAATGCAACTGTCGGATATAAACTGGGAAATTTAGCGGTGAGTTAATCGATAAAACAATTTGGCCAGTGACTTTTTTGTTTCACGTTTGACATTTTTGACGGTGGCAGGTTTGATCTTAATTAGATGACGCAAATTTGTAACTCAATGAATGCATTTTTCCTGGAACTGACAGTTTAAGCTTTGCTTTTTATTTACGTTCAGTGTTTATTTTATTATGTAGTGTTTCTAGTAATACACTTTGATATTAGTTATTTCCAACAGAGTGTCAATTGTCAATTTCAAACGAAAATATTTAGTATTGGATTTCATGGAAAGAATCAGAACCAACTTTGAAATGAAAAAGCCTCTGTCAAGAATTTTGTTGCGTGACGTCAGCATGGTACTTGCGAAAGATTATTTTAAACTAGGTAGATAAGAAACTACAATTGAATTTTTTTGTTGATTTCAAACGTTTTTATGTTAAACCTAGAATATTTATAGTAACGGAATTAGAAGCAATCGCTTTCGAAAATTAAGCACTCCTTAAAGTAGCGATAAATATGTAAATTTGTCAACGCGTAAGTAGAAATGTTGCTTACCGCATTGTGCGATATATCTGACTCTTGACTTTAATGATAAATCTTTTTTTTACGCGGCGCACTGTGGTCGGAACGTCGCAAAAGAATTCTGCAATAAAATAAGCAATATCATAAGAAGATACCAATCCTTACTAAATCATTATACAGTTCAAAGTAAAAATAAAGACAACCATAAAAATATTAATTATTCAAGTGTATGTGTATTTGTCTTAGAATTCATGCTCATTATCAGTTCCAATCAAAACTTCAACTAACCAAAACTATTACACAGGGTGAATAAAAATTGAAACCCGATATAAATAAAATGGATTTTCTCAATCAAATAAATACAGAAAATCCATATATCGTTATTATACAGAGCAAATAATCAAATACTGTGACTTTATGAATGAATAATTATGAATAATAATAATATGAATTTATATGATTAATTTAGGCCATATGCATATTCAAAAGATTTTTTAAATGGAATTATAGGATATTCTAGAAATTTATATCACTAAATATAGATATTTACGAGGAATAAGTAAATCTTTTTTAATTTAGAATATACGAAAATTTAGGCCTAAAATTGTCTTAATTAGATTAATAAAAAAATGAAGTTATAACGCAAATAATCAATAATTCTTATTTAAGCAGTAAAAGAATACTTCTCTTATTTTCATCCGTATTACAAACGAAGCACTTTAACACTCCAGTTTAAATTAAATTCTTTTGAATGGCAAACCGAAAATTATTGTCATAAAAGTATTTTCTGTTCTTTGACGTTTTTCTGTCTTACTAGATGTTTGGAGTCCCAGTGATATAAAATTACACTTTTGTGTGGAATACTTATAAAATTGGATCAGGGCCTAATTTTGTTGTACTAATGAAAAAGCGCATACAGGTTGAAAAAAAACTAGTAATAGACGAAGGCAAATTAATAGCAAAAATTAGCGGAAGGAAATTTTTATTCATTGTAACTCGCAATTTTACAATAATTGTAACATTTAACAACAGGTATTTGTTGCCTTTTTTTTGAGGTTTTTAAATATGGCTATTATTTTTTATTTGATTATTAAATATTGGGCAGAAATTAAAAGCAATTTATATGGCGCAACTATACTTTTTGCAAATATTATTATTTCATATTTAAGAATATTACAAAAGAAACAACTTTTGTTCTTAAATCACCCTCTGCTGTTAATTTAAACTTATCAAAAACTCAAATCCATCGCTCTAATTAAGTTTTAAAAAAATTATTCATGACCAATTTACATTAAATAAAATTCAAAAGGCTATTTAATATTTTTTACAATCACACGTTAATAGGTACCGAATAGACTAATCTTTATTTTAAGCTATAACAAAAAAATAACGTTTTGGTTTAACGACTTATAGGCTTACATTAATTGTATTATCTTATGGGCTATTAAAGGATTGTAAACAAAATTCAACATTTAGTTGAAATCATATATACTTTTAGTGACTGTGGAAGTCACTATTCATGAATTTTAAATAGCTTTAGTATTCTACTAATGTAGGTATAATGGAAATGACTTCAATTGTCAAATAACTTAGTATTATGTCATAACTAGGTTCAATACACTATTGGCTCAATATCTATTGTTGACTGTATATATATAGCAATCGGCATTTGCGTTTAAATTGCGTTAATTTTATCAATTAAATCATTAAAGTATAATCGACTCTATAAAAAACAACCACACTAGGAAATCTAGTATTATCTGGACCTCTTACCTGCCTCATTCCCTCAAAATTAGGTCTTAAATTGTGCAATTTAAATGTCGTCGTGCAAAATTGAAGCCTGGCAAGGCGAAACCAATGGTTTCTTCGCTGTACGTGTACTATAAATCTTTGTCAAACGGTCCTCGTACAAAGTTGCTGTTCAAGAACTTCAGCAATTATCCTTGGACACCCACGAATCTCAATGGGAAGTTCTTACAATTCTTCAATTAATCCAAAATGTAGTTTTCTTGGGTCCTCCTGGTTTTCGTATTGAAATAACACTGTGTTTTGGCAAGTCAAACTACTTGGAATGTTAGGCGTTCCTTATTCTCATTTGTCGCCTATCCGTGGTGATTGGTTTGGCTTTTCACATATTTATTTCTACAAAAATAAGGACCATGAACCTTAATGAACATTCAAAATGTTATGTTTCAATCGACCTTTATAACAAACCCCCTTTACTTGTGCCTATTGGAAGAATACCATGATCCTTTAAACTATTCGAGTTTTGGTTAGTTAGTAGTTAGTTTAGGCAATTATTTTGGTGACATGAAATAATTAAGTCTATTGTTTTCAGTTCAACGTAGAGGGCGCCTACGACGATGAAGACTTGAGTATTTTAGTTACTCAAGTTTTAAACGATAATGTCCTTCCATTTCTGAACAATAACGAGCCGTTAATTAGTCAAATAATTTCCGATATTATCACCCCCGACCGGAATGAGAGTGCGAATAATATTCAAGACCAGATGATGAGTTCATTAGTGCAGAGGATTGTACGCAATGGATTTTATCCTGATATTTTTAATAACTCACCCGGATTGTTGCCGTATCTCGGAAAATTTTAAATGCACTGTGTTTTTGACGTAATAGAATTTTTGTTTATATCGATCTTTTTTTAATTTTCATTTCAGTTTCCCATAAAATTTACAAAAACCCAAGTGGCAGCGGAAAACTCAGGCGATAGCAAATAAATTACCACTGATGCACTGGGTAATTAATAATATAAAACTGATCGAAAATCAAAAAATCAATTGTTCCCCGGGGTTTTAAAATACACATAAATAATAAATCGAAACAATGTCCGTTTACTCTACGTTTCTAAGCATTTATTTATTTGGATTATTTGATTCTTATATTACGTCAAAGGTACGACTTAGTGCAAATCTGAAGTTAATTATGTGTGTATACCCCGAATTTAGGTATTATTTATATGGTATCCCTTTACATACAAACTGGGTCTCATTTTAAGATAAAGGAGAACCCTGCAGCGGTTAAAAATAATGAAGAAAACGTAAAGTATGACTTCAACGAAGAAATTTAATTGCTATTTTCCCGAATCAGCTAAGTTTATTTATACTTATTACTCAGTAAACGTTTTTTATGATGATAGCAATGGGTGCTCAGTTTAGAAAAAGACATGTTCAAAAAATGTTATCATTAAAAAAATTGGAAACATTCTACAGAAGTTAAAAGTTTACTAAAATTGTCGAAGAAAAAAGCAAAGTAATCTTTGTGTAATTTTAGCAATTTAGAATCAGATGCATCTCCATCAAATTTACTTACTAAATTGACTCGGTCAGATGAAAAGCAGCATTAGTCCAAAATTGTACATTTCGGTAAATCAATAAAAACTAAATAGTTTGAAAACTACTGCAGTTAGCAATTTCCCTTTCACACCAAAGTTTTAAATCAGGTCATTTTTGAATGGGACAAAAAATTGTATTTTGAAAAAAAAATCAGCTTTTGAGTTATTTTTTAAAATAAGTAATGGATTTGTACTCTTTTTCAACTGAACCAACAATAAAATTTAAAAAAATATTAGAAAATATTCAAAACAAATTGAAAAAACTTTATTTACCGCAAACACTTAATACAAACATTAAAAAAAACTAAAATACTTATTGATTCTCCTCAGCCTATATAAAAACTTCAGCTTTTCTCCTGTAATATATTGCATTACTATTTTAATATCCTCCACTTTTTTCTGATGTATCGGAATTGGTTTTCTATATGCCATTTCCGTGTGCAGGGCTGATTTTTCTTTGTTCTTCTTCAGAAGTTTGGACTTGAATGTAGTTGAACGCCGTATATATTCAGAAGTTGTCACATATCCGATTGCATTACTAAGAGAAACTGGCTATAGTTTGAAATCACACGTTGCTGTTTTCTTGCTGTCGGTACAGTGAATGGCGTAATTTTCCTTGATGACCTTATCTGTCATTTCTTCTCAAAATGCGTTGTCGCAAGGTAGAAACAAATGCCCTCGTACGTGAAAGTGGTGGTAATTTTTTTTGAATCGTTTAGTTGCCTGCAGCAGGAAATACAACTCTGTAATATCAGGAGGAACATATTTTGGTATATAATTAGACAGGAAAGAACAAACTTTGTCGGGTCTCCTTTGTGCCTGCCTTTTGTGGTATGGGTAAAAATGTATTATTTGTGGACTTGTGTAACCTTAAATCTGTCACAGCAACTCGCTTGACGGTACCATTAAGACTTGGATCCTTTCTTCTAGCATTAAGTCGTTCATATTCAGAGCAAAAAAGAATCGATGTGACTTTTAATCTTCACAATTCATTTGTCACATAATGCTCGATGTCTATTATTGTGTAAACCTTTGAAATATATTTTGGTGTCTGTCCTGCGGCAAGTAATGTAATTAGACGTTGGATATGGACGTCCGAGATACATAAACATAAACTCAGAATAACATACAAAAATTTATTACTTCTTGGTTCCTCGCCCCTAAAACGATGTCGCTGGTTTGCTTTCATTTCCATCAACACCTGAGGAAAGGTGTCTTGTTCATTGTTAGGCTGGTCGTCATACAATTTTGACATTATGACATATTGACATAAGTGGTCCATGCAATGGACTTTACACCTGTAAAATTGAATTAGTTTGCTATAGCATAAATAGAATAGCATAAATAAAATAGTGTATAAATAAAATAGTATCTAACTATCTTACTTGCATGGAGGTACAAGAGTTTTTGCCTCAACTTGCTTGCCATTCCACTTCCCACATGTTTACATGTCTTTTTCTTTTCCTAATAACATTTGGCTAAGTACCCTCGGAGCTACTTTTATTAGAAGACATTTTTAAAAGCAAAATGTGGCAAACGAATAAAGCACGAGACCGATTTAAAGCAACTCTCGTCAAAGGGAACCTTTTTCATTTGAAATAAGAAAGCTCGGGATTCTGAGAGCAAGACTAAAAACCTGGCATTATTGTGGATATAATTAGATCAAGCATACTAAAAAGGTTCAGTGCATCAAATTTCAAAAAACTGTCTGTAGTCAACGTAAAAAACCCAATTTGAAAATATGACATAAGCCAGAGATTTGAATTGGGATATCCTGTACATTATTGGACTTTCAGTTCCGCCATCAATTTCTTGTTATTGCTGTATAATATATTCTTGTAAACAATTAATAATCCATTCACGATATATTATGTTCCAATAACTATAACTATAGAACTGCCCCGTTCTGAAAACTACTCTCCCGCCTTAAGTTGCAAAAACTTCAAAAACCCACACCGTACTTTATGGCATCAATGTAAACCTTATTATAAATTTGAAAATATGTTATGGCCGTATATTCCAAATCTAGTGACCATGTTTACAATTATTTCTCGCAATAAATCTCAACATCCTCATAGCAGAAACACACCATCATTATTTCAAACACTTAAATTTTAGGCCCAGTTTATTATCAATGCGCCATCCTCTGAGGGCATCAAGCTACCCTTAAAAAAAGCTCAGCGACATGAAAAAGAAGATAGAAAAAATGAAACAGCCCTGGACATCTGAAGACTACTTATTATATAAGACATATTCTTTTTTAATCCCGGACTACCGACGCCAGCTATTAATCTAAGAACATGTTTAAGGGCATAGTAATGTGATCCTGTGTGAGTGTGTAATCCCCTTTAAATTAGTCACTGTTGACCTAAGGTGAATAAATCCATGCAGAAATGGAGAAAAAAGTCTACTTGCGGAGTAATTGGTGAACGTCTTTTCAACTCTTCCACTCTTAAGAACAGGACAGACCTGTGCTATCTTCCAACATTTAGGAGACTGAACAACCAACCTGAACATTTGTAAATTGTAGTTTCTCCCTTATTTCAGATACGTATTTCATACCAATGAAGGAGTTTCGAACTTCCTCTGCATCCATCGCAATAGTGTCTTTACAGGAAGTTTTAATGTACAACCTTTTTAAGATCACAATTTCCTAGAAACTCTACTACAGAGTTATTTTTCAAATAATTAAGCATTCCGTTGATACACTTAAGGATGTGTATATTTGTCAAATAAATCCATTATTTTACATTCGTTGCGTAGGTATACGTCTGAATCTGATATCTGCAAACATAGATCTTATCAACCTCAAGTGATTTGGAACTTTGTTATTTAAAAGGATAATCAATCAATAAGTCGCAGTATTTGTTAAAGAAATTTTTTTTTGCAAAATGTCCATCACACAAACATTCGCCGTGTCGATATTCATTTGTGGGGTTGCTACAGCACTACCGGCATACCAAAGTAAGTGTTGCAAATAAGAAAGCCTTCCTACCAATTTCGTTGATTTTTAAGCAGTGAAAACCAAAAATTAGGCATCTATTACATATCTATAGTCTATATAGGTATTAATTTAAAATGAGTTTAGATTTTTGGATTTAATTATTAAACTTACATTTTTGTTTTAATAGTATAAATGTAGCTGAGTTTATTTACTACAATATTTTACCTAATATACTCTATTTTCCTTATCTTTTAATTAATGCATATTTATAATTAGATAAGAGTGTTTGGTATTGTGGCATTCGTGCACATTTGTTTGCATTTTTTCAAATTTGAAACATAATAAAAGAGATACTTACTGGATGGGCCATTATGAACCACATAGTGGGTATTTTTGATAATATTGGAGCATATTTTTTAAAACATATGATTTCTGCAATGAAGAAAATGAATTTGATGTATCAAGTTTTGACAAATTGATTTTTTTTAATTGAATCGAGCATTTTTCTCTTGATTTTAAATGTACATAAACGGATATATTGGAGGATGTGTTTTAGCCAAATATGCCTTATATGGGACAAGTTGTTGAATTTGTGTTTTCTTAGAAATTCGTCATTATAGTCGTACTAATTTGAAAATTGCCTTCTGTTGGATTAAGTGAATAACCAAAATTGTCTAATCTGAAGCAATGAAAATCCTAGATGAAGTTACAAAATCCCCATGCATTCTCAACGTGCCACAGTGCGGTTTTGGGCTGAGGATATCATTCGGAGGACGATACTCAACGATCGATGATATATTTTATGGGATGAAATAATGGACATGTCATACAGCGAGTGAAATAGTCAAATTATTGCGTACACAATTGGGAGGGAGGCTTATCTGCAGGAATGGGGAAGTAAATTGACCACCAAGGTCGTGCGACTTGACACCGCTAGATTTTTTTTGTGAGACTATCTGAAAAGCAAAGCCTACGAAAACAATCTGCAAACCATCCAAAAATTTAAAGAAATCAGGCGAACAATTCATTATATAGCTGATGAAATGTGTTCAGCAGTAATTGAAAAGTTGAACAAAAGATTTGTCTGCTGCCAGAGAAATCGTGGTTGCCATTTGGCAAATATTGTGTTCCACGTATAATTGTACACTATCCAGCTACGCACTGCCATAAATTAAATTTAGGAATATTATGAGACTTTTATTTTATTCGAAACATATTATTGGTATTTACTATTTACATTAGTATGTAGTTATTTCAAAATTTTTATGGAAATCTCGAATTAGATATATTTGGCTAAGTCAACTGCAAATGACTATGTCCTCTATGTATATGCGTATATGAACCAGTCATCCTGTTAGGGTTGTTTTTGACGAATTTTGAAGTATTTTATTTGATATTAGTAACTATTTGTTGTATATTGTAAGTTTCAATCATAAGCTAGAAAACTGGAATTTCCTTTTTCTGTATTAATAATTTTAAATTACAGTTGATGCCGAATCTCCTGATGGGTTACTGGATGGCGTTGTCAACGCCACCCTCAACACTATAATAGGCAACCTTCCAGATCCTCTGAGTTTTGCCGATATAGTTATCAATTCTGATAACGATATACTGAGGTAATCATTTAACCATACTTCGTGTTCATTTCAATGCTTCTCCTATTCCAGCGGTTATATCAATATAACCAAGGTCGAAGTGGATGGTCTGAAGGAAATCTATGCACCGTTAGTAGACGCCGGTTTAAGTTTGGCCGTGAATTTGACATTAGCTTTGCCAACCGTCGCATTAGACGTGGAATTCGATGCCGACAGCACTTTTGTGAAGTTGCTACATTTTTATTCGCAAGATAGTTCTGTCAGGTAAAGTAGCGCTGCAAAATCCAGATTCAATTATGCAAGTTCGTTAACGATCAGTGCACTTATTTCTCCGTTATAACTAAAATTGGAAATGCTGTTTTTAGGATTACTTTAAATAATGCACAAGCTTGGATTTACGGCCAGGCTGATCTCAGCAACGGATTAAGCATTAAAGATGCCACAATTGGATACGACTCAGTTGATGATATTACCGTGAGTAGCATTGTATAGCAGCAAATGGGATAATGCAATGTTTAGATAAATTTATATCAAAATTTTTGAGTCGGAAAGTCCGTTATTCTTATAAGGTGTGTATCACTTCTTTCAGTTCGAATTCAAGAATATCCTAAACGACGATGGACTATCGCAACTTTTTAGTGATATTTTAAGCGACAATGTGGCCCGATTTCTTAACGATAATAAGGAATTCATTAGTAAAGTATTGACGGACGCATTCAGAGCCATCACCGCTGGAGATTCGCCCTCGCAAGTTGTGGATAGAGTGAGTCTCTTAATAAGCGATCGCGATGTAAACAATGTACAATAAAGTAATTAGAAAAAAAGATCTAGCTCATACCAAAACGTGCTATTTCTTCTCCTCCTTCGGAGCTTACTCCCCTACATACTCACTCCTTCCTCATATTCAGCCCATTAGTGTTTTATCGTTCTGGTGATATGAAATGCGAAAAATAGTGAGCCAGTATAAAATTTCAAATATGCTACTGTATTTACAATTCGGTGTTTTAAAACAAATTGTTCAGAGGAATATTTCATTTACTTTGTTCTTTAAAAAAATTAAAAAACCATTTTTATTAGACTCTCACTTGACAAAAGTTGGAGTAGATTCGAATATCACAAGAAAGCGGAAGCTTTCAGAAAGGCTTTGAAAAATGTTAGGCTGTAAAAATATGATATTATTGTATCTTGATCTCCTTAATTAATTATCCCATAACAAGACTAAGACAAACAAACTCATCGGCAGTTGCCGAGTCTATAGAAATCTATTGACAATCTCAGGCTACTCAGGTCTTTACCTGTCACCAATATGGGAATTAGTCATCCGAAACGGTGTTTATGCCCCTCATTTAGCTCCGCCCTCTCAAACAATATATAAGCAGGTACAGAGTAAAACGCGAGCCAGTTTCATTGAAGCTCTGAAGAAGCCAACAGGATGAAAGGTTTCGACTCAGCAAAAACTGACGCAGGAGGAATCCAGAAGTTTTGTATAAAGTTAAACTGACATGTTGTTTACCTTTAGAGCGCCACGATCAGAAAATAAATTCGGGGATAATCTGTGAAAGTACTGAAAAAGCAATAATATAATAATAATCATAATATGGTTGTTGTGTAGGTAACGACAAATTTAAATTAAAAATAGTCTCGTTAATTTTGTACATATCATAAATTCACCCTACAGAACGTGTCTTTAACAAATGATTAAAGGAATTGCTATATATTTTATATAAAATAGAAAGTCTAACCTACATAATACAAAAATTTTAAATTCAATATTAAAAACAAGCAATTCTTTTATTTTAGACATTTTTTTTATTTATTCTTGTATATATATTTATATACATATATATATTTTCTCTCATTTGTCGTATTAAATTGTTTATTGCTTCAAGGCTTACAATTTTCGGAGAAATTTTGTATTTTTTTTGTTTGAAAGCACTTAATGATGTTAAAATTATGACTTTTTGCCTTAAATCCTCATCTAGGAAATTTAATTTTTTTTATACTAATTTATTATGACATTTCCTTTTTCTCTATTTCTTGTGTTGTAAGAATATATATTTTGTAGTTCGGTTTTCTTTTTGAAAATATTTCAAACCGTTGCTTTAGAAAATAACTGCTTTATCGCAACACATTTCGACCCCCCAAACAGTTGCACAGAATAATGATTTCCGGTTTTTTGGAAAACTATTTTTAGGAAATTTTTTTGAATAATTTCCAATTTTTCAAGATCTACAGTACCCCTCCCCATCCCAAAATACCTCATTGTAAACGTGACTGCACTGTTTACTACTGCTTGTAAATATTTATTCGATCTTAATTGTGTATACTTTGTTAATCCTAAATATTTTATTTCTTCTGTCGACTTCATTGAATGGTGTTCATTGTTTATTGTTTAGTGTTAAAATTTGGCAAACCCCGTTTATTGCACGAAAATGGAATAAAAACTGATTTTTCTTCATTCACCGTAATCTGTTTAAACCACCTCAAATGTTTATGGAAGTCATTTTCCACTTGCATTTTAAGATCATCCCAAGAATCATCTTCGTATAGGAAAACTTGATCGTCCGCAAAACCAAAAATAGCCCCTGACGAGTTTACATGGTACAAATTATGCAAAGAATAAATCTTATTGGCCCTAAAACGGATCGGTGGGGGACACCATAGTAAATGTTTCTTTAAACTATAAGTATTCTTAATTTTTGTTTTCTGTATTCTTCCCGTAAGATAACTTTTAAATAGTTTTCAAGGTATTCCGCGTACGCCAGAGTTCCTGCAAGATCAGTTTATGATCAACTGTGTCAAAGGTCTTGGACAGATCGATAAACACTGCAATAACTTTTTTATTGTTTTCCAGTGACCTGTAAATTTGTGAAGTTAAAGAGGCTATTGTATTCTCTGTAGACGTACCTTGCCTTAATCGATATTACCTCAAAAATTTTTGTTATGTTACTTATAAGTGATACTTGTCGATAGTTTTCTAGATTTTTGTCGCCTTTTTTAAATAGTGGTTTTACAATAGAGATTTTACATTTTTCAGGACAGTTTTCTGTTGCAAAAATTATGTTTATTAAGTAAGATAATGGTTTGCAAATTTCGTGATGAAACGGCTGTAGTGTTTCCGTTCTGATATCAAAACCTGGTGATTTTTTCATTTACGGATGTGGTTTTTTCTAATCGGAATTGTTTTACCTTTTTCAGTTTATTAAATTTAGACTTCTGCGGATTTCAAATATTTTTTGCAAACTACTATGTCCGTTTTGTATTGTAAGGTGCACATGCACAAATAATTGGTGTCTGGCGCATTCACCATTCAATTCAATTTTTCCTTTGAATTTACTAACACTATTTCTTTCGTTGTATTAGACTGAAAATTAGCTGTAAAAAGGTGTTATAGAAAATGTTTGAGAAGTCGAATTTCCAGCGCCGAATTTGGGACATTGACGTTTGCACCAATATTTTTATCAAAATTTAAAATTACAAAATTATGAAAAAGAAATGATATTAAATAACAACATTTGGGGGTAGCGGGTCGGTGACCGGGGGATATTAAAAACTACGAGGACATTTCGAAGGCCCTTGAAAGATTGCGTCAAACACGAGTTGTCGTCGAAGTTACCATGCGCATGTTAAGAATTAAGAAAGCTCTCCTCAAAAGTGGAACTCTCTATCTACAGTTGAAATTTTTAAGAATTAAAAGAAAGAGAAAACGAATAAAAAATATTGGTCAAAATTGGTGTTACCCGATAAAATTTACAAAGCTTCCTTCAAAAGCGGTGAGGAAGATATCATAAATGTGTTTTTTTAGAATTGATGGCAAAGGAAAAAAAGTCATTAACAGAAACTATCCTAATTCTCGCGTTTATTGTAGGCAATACTGCCGTTTTGAAATTTCATTGTTTTTCACACTACTTTTCGGCTAGAAATTATCACTAGCCGTTATCAAGTGTAAACTGAGCGCTATGAACGAAGCTACATGCATTATATATATATATATATATATATATATATATATATATATATATATATATATATATATATCTTATTTAACACGTACGCTGTTCAAAATATTTGAAAAAAAAAACATATGAAAATCGCTATTACTCGCACTCGATGTAGTTTCAGAAAAGAATTATTTTCTTAAAATAATAATAATAAAACCAGGAAACTTGGAAAATTCAGGGCTATAACCTCTACTTCCAATATTTAATTATATATATATATATATATATATATATATATATATGGGTTTTTAAGGGTAAATTATTGTATTGTATTGTATTAAGTGTAAAAGATGGCACAATTGCTTTAGACAGTATCGTAAATTGAATCGGGAGCTACAATTTTTTGATTTACAGTTCATTTATATTATACAGGGTGCGCGAGATATATGAATAAAAATATTATTGTAAATCGCTATTAAGTAGTGCGTCTCGCGCAACGACGAAATTGCAAAAGCAATCTTGTTTTAATTGTATTCGAGAGTGATTAGAACATAGTCATCCTAATTAGATCATATGATAGCAATGAAATAATACCCCGAATAATGTTCTTTACACTTTTACTATATTTTGCAATCATTATAACATTTATGTTGAGATACGTAATCAATGTTATAAAATAGTGTAATAAGTATCAAGAACATTAAATTTTAATTCGAACAATAAAGTCTGTCCAGACTAGGTGGCTGCTGTGATCCCTACTATGGTGGTGCATCTTTAAGCCATGCAATGGTAATCATAATAAAAAGCTCCCTGGTAAAATCATTCTATCATGCAAATAGTGTATTTTGTACACCCCACTCTAACATACTAAATTTTGTACTGATGAAGCGTGCCCGAAATAGGACGTCAGCTTCATTCGTTAATGACTGCAACAAGTCACTTCGGACTTTTCCGGTACTTTGACCACAGGATTCGATGCGATCAGATGTTTTCGATATGTTTTAGTCACTAATTTTAGTTTTGCAAAAATATACCCTAAAACTAATAGTTGCAGAATAGAGTTTGCAACACTTCCTCAGTCACAAATTAAGTCAGACTATAATTTTTGTGAATTTTGGCAAGCTTTTCTACTCCGGTATTTTTAATAATTATCAAAAATATGATTGATCTAATTAAGGATGTTATAAGACATTGTAAGATCAATTTGTTTCATATTCCCTGCATAGGCATGACTGGTTTTGTCATCTTTGTAGTGTTGGATATTATATCTCCGAACGTAGATAATTTTTTTTTGTTTCATCAAATCTTATCAATCTCAAGTGATTTCGAATTTTCTTATTTATAAGAATAAGCAACCAGTAAGTGGCAGTATTTGACGAACAAGATTTTTTTTCCAAAATGGGCATCTTATGGACTTTGGCAGTGTCGATATTCATTTTTGGGTTTGGCAAGACAGTGCCGGCCGAACAAAGTAAGTTTTTAATACGGAAAATCGTTTCAGAAATCTTCATTAAACTCTAAAGTCTAATAAAATTTTAATCATATTAACGTTAACCATTAAACATTAACAACTCCCCAAAAATAAAATCCATATTAACTTTGTATTTAAGATGTAGATATGAAACACTTTGAATGGTTGCAGGTCCGCAGTTTAGCTTTTTGGATTTGTATTTATTTAAATTGGGAAGTTATATAGTTGACTTAACATTATAAGCGCAGTATAGTTATACATATTCTTTATTTTCTAATACATGATACTGTAATACAAATACAACACTAAATGACGAATATTTTTTTATGCTTAAAATGAAAATATTAAAAAAAAACAAGTTTCTTAAATGGGGATTGTTTTCCACACGGATCATTATAGATTATTATTCATTATTCATTCATTCTATTATTATATTGATAATCTGCAATCAAAATGTTTTAAATGAGCTACGAGGTTTGCATTATTTCTCCTAAGAAATAACAGTAGACTTGTAGGTATTTTTGGTGGGACTTGTAAATACATGTAGCTATAAGATTTTGAGGTCAACCATACCAATGTTTCTGGAACTGCTTTTTTTTTGCTGTCCACAAGAATGTTAAATTTGAAGCTAAAAAATTGAAATTCACTTTTCGTCCATAAGCAATTTTTAAGTTACTGGCACAGTTGACGAAGCATCTCCTGATGGGTTGCTGGATGGAGTTGTTAACGCCACCCTCAACACTATAATAGGCAACCTTCCAGATCCTCTGAGTTTTGCCGATATAGTTATCAATTCTGATAGCGATATACTGAGGTAACCATATAATTATATTTTAAGTGCGTTCGTTCATTGTAATGCTTCTTCTATTACAGCGGTTATATCAACATAACCAAGGTCGAAGTGGATGGTCTGAAAGAAATCTATGCACCCTTAGTAGACGCTGGTTTAAGTTTGGCCGTTAATTTGACATTAGTTTTGCCAAAGGTCACATTAGACGTAGAATTTGATGCCGACAGCACTTTTGTAAAATTATTACATTTTTGGGGGCAACATAGTTCTGTCAGGTAAATTCACTTTGAAGTCCAAATGATAATGATTAATCAGTGCACTTACTTCTTTGCTCCAAAAAAAAAACCAAATACTGTATTTAGAACTAAGGTAAATTTGGCTAGTAATTGTGGATACATAGAGAGGTTTCACTGCAGCAAATATACTTCACACTCAATGGGATGCTACAAATTTTAAAAAATGACGTTATGTTGCCTATGTTTCGCTTACTTTACAAAGCAAACAATCTCGCAGAAGTGCTTTAAGTAATTGAAATAATCAAAGCTAACAATATCATAAAAGAATAGGAAAGTTGAACATTATTATTTAGGTACTTTGTGTTTATGTATAGAAACAACGCAAACCAAATATCAAAACTGAAAACCCGATATTTAAGTTGCAAGCTGCAAGTTGTTAAAACGTTTAAACGACACTAAACGCGTTGAAATGATCGTGACGTCATACCGCTGTGAAAAGGCGACATGTAATAATGTTATTCACATGACTTCCTGGTATATATAAAATAAAGAACAGCTTAAGTTATCAATCCCAATATACTTTAAAATCAGTATTTCGATTTCTAATAGTTTAAAAAAGAATCCATTTTTTTTTTTGAAAAATTTGCATTTAATTTGATATAACATTTGAATTTTAAAAACAAAAAAAACTTTAAGCGGATTACAATATTGTATTTGTTTAAAACTAGTGGCTAAATTTTTTATGAACATACCTTTTCGCTTTAAACCTCAGCAAAAAACAGCTAATGACAGCCCAATTCAAATAGGAATTAAATAATACAATTTTTAATTGCTTATATGTGCTACATCGAACTACAAAGTTATTTTTGTTGTGGACTGTGGTTCTCTTAATAGTATAAACTTACTTTTATAAGCAATATTTTTCAAATCACAAGTTACAAATTTAAAGTTCTTTCGAAAGTACATTTCCGTTTTTCTAATAAACAATCCAGACTTCGTGGTGCGGGTCGTCACATATGCTACATGGCGTTATTTATTTGTACGAAAACCAAAAGAAGTGGTCTGCCATCGATTATAAAAAGACCTCTACGCATTATTTAAAAGCAGTCAAATCTGGAATCTGGAATGTATTTCTCTCATTCTCTCCCATTGTTGTAGTTTATATGAAACTGCCATAAATCATCTAAAACCCATTTAAGCCAAATATTGAATTCCCGTCGGATTTATCAAATTTCAAACGATTCAACCGATGTAAATAATATCTCCTCATAGAGATAAAGAACATTGCGTCCCATATTGAAAAGGATATTTCCAGCGTACCTCCAAACATGTTAAGTTTTTGTCAGACTTGTATCCAAATAAAAAAAAAACATTGCTGAAAAAGACGGAATAAGGATTACCCTTTGCGCCACTTTAATATTAACATTATATATAATAATATATATATATATATATATATATATATATATATATATATATATATATATATATATATATATATATATATATATATATATATATATATATATATATATATATATATATATATATATATATATATATATATATATATATATATATATATATATATATATATATATATATATATATATATATTATTATAAATAAAAAAAAAATAAATTTAACATAGTTAAACAATGATTGAATGGTACAATTATTTTAAAGCTAAGAAAACGTTATCTATAGATAAACATTAAAAACCTAATACGCTTGCTTCCCAATTTTCACTTTCGTGAGTGTTTGGTTGTTCTGGCTTCATTTAAAGTTCCCTAAAATATCTACATGCTTGCTGTGATTGCTAAGCGATTTTTCGCAAAATAATCTGCAAACAAATCCAAAATTAGACGTCTACCTAATTGATCATTTTGAATTGCAGTCAATTTTTGAATAATCGATAGTTAGTTCATCATGAGTTTAAAAAAAATACATATTTTGCAATAATAACATTACCTATTGAACACATCTAGTTCTACATCAATACACACGCAACCTTAAGAAATTCTTAAGATACGAAGTAAATTCCTTTATAGTAATGATGAGTATTAAAATTTTTAAGTCTTGGTCTAAGTATGATTTTCATATGTCGGTTTTTAGTTGTTAGTTATGCCAGAAAATTGGCAAGTAAGTTTACTACCAAAAAATAATCTCATCTAAAGATATCAAATAAAATGATGAACGAAATGAAATAATCAAACAAGGCAAAAGGGAACGTATGGGGCCAAAGATGTACTCATATAAATTCCTCGCTCGGTAGTTCTAGGTCTCCAGAAGCCTCGTAATGTATCAACAGTCTACGGAAAAACAACAGAAGACATTATAGACTGGATAGTATAGGTTTGAAAGAGTGCGAAAACCATTGCCATAGACTTTTAACAGAAAGTAGAGATGACATCACACAACAAACAAAAGAAAGACATTAATAATGAAATCCACAATAAGATCGATGTAAATTCAACAGTGAAAGAGAAACTAAAAAAGATTAAAAATAATAAACTAATCAAGCATTCTCCTGATAGAACTATCGAAATGTTATGTGACGTCGCCGGTGGAGAGACTTTATGGATCATCATTCAAAATCGAAGAGCAGAGTTGTATTAAACCACGAGAATCGTGCATAGGCATTTTTTTTGCTCGTAATCAGATATCGGTAAAATGTATTGCTGTGGGGAAGGAACTGCACGTGATAATTATAGGTCCTAGAAATGCCTACGATTCATTCGAAGTTGTGGGAAGCATCCTTTTTAATTTTAATAATGATTGATACATTTCCTGGCTTCTTGATATTTAAAATTACCCAGCAAGAATTTATATGAGTTCAACTTTGGTGCATTGTTTTTTTGCCTTGTTTGATTTCTTATCTAATAAATATCTTTTTCTTATTTGTCATAAGTTTCATTCCACCAGAAACTATTGCTATGAGATTTTCTCTTGTTTCGCGTTCGTACAGCTTCGAAGGCTGCATCTTTAAATTTTTCTTTGAGTTTCTTATTTATTTGTAGTCTCCCTCCATAGTTTTAGTTGTCCGTTCATTCTTTATTCTATCGCTATTGAATCAAGTTTTATTCTCATTTCTTTTTCCTCAACTCTTTTTCTTAGCTTCATAGGTAAAATGGAATTTTCCCATTAGGAATTGTATGGATGAATATTGTTTTGTTATTATAAAATCAATTACAGCTGTCTGCCCTAAAGTAGGATTTGTCCAGGTATATGTATGTATGTATGTATGTATTATGTTGAAAGAATCCGTTGAGGATTTGCATTTGGAATTCTTTACAGCTTTTTGAGTCTGTGCCGATTATCATTTGCCGCAACATCGCTGTAACTTCCTACAATTTTACTTTTTTTTTCTTCATCTGAATCGCCCGTAAAGGCGCCCGCTATTATCATCTCAGAATGCTTCTTCATCTTTTCTATTTCGGCTAAGAGATCCTCACAGAATATATTTTTCAATCCTACAGAGACGTTTGGTTCACATACTTCTATGATTGTTGGACATTTATTCTTCAATATCATGTCCATGGTCATTTTTCTTTGTCAACACCATTATATGTTATTATATATTATTATATTCGTTTCGGTACATTTTTTGTTTCGGATATAACCGCTATATCTTCACAAAGTTTCTTGATTGATTTCGAATAACAATTCCAAAAAGGATAAGAAGCACGGTGTCAACACTTGCGCCTACACAAAATTTGGGGAATTTTTAATTTTCTAGTTTTACACTGGTAAATGCACAAGTATGGATTTATGGGCAGGCTGACATTAGCAACGGATTGAGTATTAAGGATGCAACAATTGGATTTCTAAATATCGACAAACTGCAAGTAAGTTGTTTCAGTAGTTAAAAGAATTATTGAGTCGTTATTTTGAATTTCAGTTTCAATTCAGTAATATCCTAAACGATGATGAGTTCTCGGATTTGCTAAATGATCTGTTGGGAAAGGATTTTTCCGACCTCTTTAACGACAACGTCGAATATATAAGCAGAATATTGACCGATATCTTCAAAATCATTTCCGGTGGAGGTTCCTCTACGGAAGTAGCGAACGAGGTCGTTTCGTTAATATGCGCAAGAATACTGGAAACCGACTCCAGTCAATACCTGAGGAAACTGATTGGAATGCAAAATTTGATGTAACAAAATTTAAAAGTGCAACAACAAATGTAATAAAAGTATGGCTTAACGCTTAGACTTTGTCCGTTTCTGTCATGTTTTGGAAATTGGCCAAAATATTTTTTTAAATGTCTAGCTGTCAAATTTCTTTCCAATCTCTCTGACTTTATGCTTTTTTTCTGCAGTCCACAATTTTTTTTTTGCCTTTATGCCCTCTTATGTCCTCTTTCCTTCAGGCACTTACACTATTGTTTTTACTGTACTCTTTTCTTCTACTCTCTAAAGCTGTCCCACCCATTGCCTTCCCTAAAAAATAAAATAACTTAGAAAGTTGCACAGATGTAACAGAAGTATATCATCCATAAATGGGTAAAAAAGTAAATTTATATTACTTCATTGTAATTATTATGATTTTTACGAACTTATATTTTTATGAACTTAGCGCTATATAAAAATTGACGAGAAATTATATACACTGGTGTATTGTAGCAGCGCGAGCTTTGAAGATGCCAAGTGGGATCTTGGCGAAACGTTTCCAGGATTCCAGTCGGGGTTCAGCGGTCGAACGGATGATATCCTGGAATATTTTTTCCATCCGTGAATCAATACGTGAAAAAAAAAATATGTTGAAAAAATATTCGATATCATCCGTTCGCCCGCTGAACCCCGAACTGAAATCCTGCATCCGACTGGAATCCTGCAGACTAATTAGCCTTCTCAAAATTAAAATTTTATGGCATAGCAAAGGAATTAAAGGACTTTTTCTGAGCAACAAAGATCAGTTTTTCTAACAGAAAAAAATCATTTAAATAAATCTTTTACCACCGTTTTTTCATTGGTTGTCTAGGTACAAGATAAAGTTAGCCAGAATATGGAAAACGGAATATATAAATGCCTGAAAAAAGAGACAACTCCTTTTTATAAAAACAAATTTATCACTATTTATTTCTATTTTTTTGAATTTATTTCGTGATTAAATCACAATATTGAGACGAGAGGTAATGTAATTCACAGCTTATTTAAATATAGATGAATTTAAAAAATATTATTACAAAAAGCTTAAATTTGGTGATTACGAATAATTATCACACAATTATTGGGATATTTTTACTGTCGTAAGTTAACTGTTTTGGAAAAAAATTTTTTGAATACTCATTTTTGTGTTTATGTTGTAGTCAATCGTTTATCCTAAACGTCAATTAGGATTAAGTAGAAATAGAAACTGTACTGACATCTTCTCGTGGCATTCGATAACTTCAAGCGTGCATTTGATTCCCGGAACGTCTGATAAATAAACCACGAAGCCGTTTGACATTATCGTGGTTTGTCAGGGGTCTCCCTGAGTCTGTCTTATTTTCCGTATTTCTTTAGGAACGCTTTGTTTCCCGAAGTCTTGCTGATGTGAATAAAAAAATACAAGCTTTAAGAGGTTATTGTGCCAAAAATAAACTTACTGTAAATACTAGTAAAAAAAATAATGATTTTATTGCAATGATACACTACTCGAAATAGTCAAATTAATGCAAGCAATCAAATGTAAGCAATCAATGGGAGCTATCATGAATCCTATGAATACAGATTAAAACTATGTCATTAACTAATAGCATAGGAATCTGAGGCTTAGGTTTTAGATCTTGGAAAGTGATCGAGAGAGTCAAAAAATTTAGTTTTTTACTTTTGAAAGAGGCACTCGGGCTTTGACAAGTGAATCGTAATGCCTAAAGAAAAAAATATGTTCTAGAAGTTCTTCAATTGAAAATGACAAAAACAGTTTAGCAAACTGTTTAGCAAAAATGTTTTTAGTTCCTGCTGAAAATGTCAGTTTAAATTACCCAAAGCAAGTGACCTTTGTCTATTTGTAACTTGCAGAAGGAGGAGGAGGGAGCATTTAAATTTTTAAATATGCTGATTGATTTCAATTCCTTGAATCGATGGGTTTGTATTTGTTTCTTTCCTTTTACAACTCCTTTCATTTTAAATGAAAAAAAAAAACATTTTTTTTACTAACATAACTCGCATTTTTTGTAAGCAACCTTACTTCTTGTCATGAAGATTTATTCTATATGCAATAAATGATGTTATTATAATTACAATTAAAATGGTTAAGTCAAGCACTTTTGAAAGGGCGTCTATTTCCTAAAAAATGTAGCTGGTTGTCAAAACCTTTTTTTGATTAACTGCGCGTCACTACATATGCTGCAATAACAATTAAACAAATATTCAGAATTGAAAGTGAAAATAGAAAATGCCTTCAATAAAAACATTCTTGCTGATAAAAGGCGTCATAGTATTTCCGTGTTTCCCGTTTCACTTTAAGCGCCTGTATCATTTATATGGCAAATTATTTATCGCGAAACTGCTTCTCACGTAGTATTTAAAGTCAAATGAAAATCGAACGCATTCGAACATAAAGTATTGCAAAATACAATTTTATATTCCCGCGGAATGGACGCGACTTTCTTTAAATGAAAGTATAATACACCCAAACAAAATAATAACACATAAGTTAACCCCATGATTGCCGAGTCATTTTGGTGTAGGTGTGCCGATCACACGTTTAAGATTCTAAGCGAAACGTTGATGTGTCGCAACCCAGTTGTGAAATATATCTCTGAGAGAAGTAAGAGATTAAATTTTTTGACAATGATCCTAGGCCAAAATCCGATCGCGTTTGATAATTTTGTTTTTCTACTCCCGTCTGTAAAATACCTAACTAACAACCAATCTAGCACGCGGGAAGCGTCACTTTACCACGTCAGTTTCGTTTCCCACGAATCCGAGCCACATCGGATGTTTTCCACGCTTTGAATTTTGACGTTTGTCAATTCGGACAGTCATGTCAGTGAATGTATTCGTGTTTTGCGAAAATGTATAAAAATAAAAAAGTATAGTATGCAACACGTTCGGTAAACTTTTTAACTCACTCGTTTATTAAAAGCTCGCTCCGCTCGTGTCAAATAAACTCGTGAGTCAAATGCCGTTTACCGCACTTGTTGCCTTAGGGTATAGTTTGGTTATAATAAAACTTTCATTATCACTGCTTTCCTTTTGGTTATTGGTTTACTGGCGTGTTTAGCGTTTACTGGAAGTTTTATTAAAAGAAAACATCTACAGAAAATAACAAATTGGCTGCGGCAGTTTTAGAGGCATTGAGGTGAGTGTTTTCTCCCAACAAATCAATAATTCATGAGTTCCATTTTCAGTATCTTATTGTGGGATATTTTGGATATAGCGTAAACTCATACGGTCGAAATTAATTAGCCATAAAGTAGCATGACCAAAATGTACTTTGTAATACCCCAGTATGCTCTTAAGAACTATGCAAACTATGTATATGTAATACTATAACATTAAAATATGGGCTTCAATTTTATTATAAATTTTCTCATCGTTATCTAGCATTTATAGCATAATAATAAAATTTGTCAGCCTTTTTGACATTCCAATTACGAATTCTAACCAAAACTTATTTCTACGTTGCGTTAGTTCCACTGCATTGTTTAGATTTTAGATAAATCGAAAAATTTTTTTTAATTGTAAAAAATCTGAAAAAATGTTCAATTTTTCAAAGGTACTCTCTCGTTTAGGCTGTCTAACTCTGTCGGTTAGTGACTCATTTGCATTTTTTTTTGTAAATAGTCAAAAGATGTTAAGATACGAGCAGCAATAAATACTTCAAATCAAATGTTGAACTTGTTTTCACAATACACTCTCTTAACTGGATTTGAATGTTACACAAAACTTCCCTATTATTACATGAGCATTTTCGTCATCCTTGGATTGATCGTGGATACAAATTTGATTGGCCACCAAGAAATTTGGATTGCCGGACGAAGTTAATTCCTTTGCAAGACATGTGGCAGAAAATACAAGGACTCACGAGTACGCTTAGAAATAATAGTATAATAATATGTATAATAATATGTATTGATGTAGATTGTTGGCAATTCTAACATTTGATTGAATTTTTTTATTTACAAAGCACTATAACCATAATTATTATTGTCAAATATGATGTTTTTATTAATCCCCGATTCATTTAATCCTTTAAGTATTTGTAGAAAAATTATCTTGAACTTTTTCTACCGAAAATTCGACATTCTTTTAGATTTTCATTATGTTTCAACCATAACTCGACAGATAAAAAAGTATCCTCTAGGAGCAACGTCTAAATAAGTTTCAAGTTCAAAAATACCTAAAATGGTCAATTTTTATTATTATACGATAAAAACTTTAATTTAAATTTAAATTTTGAACGCCCTGTATGTCGGAAATCAGAAACAATTGTATCAGGTACATTGTACTCGATCATAGTATTTTTCGTCATGTATGTCTAGTTTAGATATTGCCATTCTTTATGAATCACCCTATAAAAAGTGTAAAATGCCAAATTGTGCTTGTCTTCAATGATTTTCCAATTGTAATTCATTTTAAATTGCTCTTTGTTAGCATCATAAAATACAGTGAATTATTAACGTTTCAGTGTAACCGCCGTTTCCAAATTCTTATGTTTTGAGAATATTTCGGATATTCCAACAAGCTGTCTGCTGAAATAGGTGCGAGGGTCGAGATTGATATGAACAGCAAAATCAGGAAGAAAAATTCCAAAGAACACGCGATAATTCTCATTAATCAGCAGTTGCGTCGCGTGAAAGCTAGTTAAAACCTTATGTGAGTTACTGCACGCGTCCAATCAACCCATCGCCGGTTTAGAACCAGCGGCGTACTAATTAGGTGGTCTATAAAACAAGACTTTTAACTGAATAAATTTCCATTGTGCAGGCAATATGATGAATTAAGAACAAACTATCGTGTCAGATTTAACAGTTAAAAAAATTTGTACGAAGTCAGTGAATTAAAGTGTCACATGATATATGTAGCATTACTAGTTCTTAAGTTATTTATTTATTTCCATTGTATACATCATGATTAATGATTTGAAACCAGCGTCTGTATAAGTAATCTAATTTCATGTAAATATAAATGCTTTAAACATCTACTTTATTTATTAGGTATAATTTCGATTTACTATCAATTAATTTATTTGGTGTCAGGTAAAATTTTTTGACTTATATTTTAAAATACATATAAGGAAATATATTAATTTCTTTAATATTGCTTGGTTCTTTTTTAAAGTGCCCTACCTGGGTTCAGAATCTCTCTTTCTGCAGCTATTCTAAAGAAAGACTCTTTCTCAATACCAGTCTATTGTCTAATGATAGGGAGGTATCAACGTATCAATCAACTCTGGAGCTTCAATAAGGTCCATGATCACTGCTTCTTTGAATTTCGCAATATTAATCTTTTTTGGCAATAGTAGTTATTAGAGTCCTTCCTAGAAATGGAGCGTAAGCAGCAATCTAATCGGAAAGATATATAAAAGCTTTATTGTAGCCGACTATTACATTGGGTTTTGTTATCTC